GTCATGGTTTTCCCAAAGCTGTTTTTTCAAAAGGCAACTCGACTTTCTTGGTTTTTTGTTTGAAAGCATTTAGCTTCTCATCCAGTAAGTTTCTTCTGTTCTGGTAGAAGCTTCTTGGATGAGAAGTGAAACATTTTCAAAGAAAAAAACTAAGAAAGTTCAGTTGCCTTTTGGAAAAAGAACCTTTGGGATTGTTGTGGGACATAGTCTGGGAATGCCATACCAATTGGGAGCTGTGAGAGCAAGTGCCGCAATGACCACAGGGATTAACTAAAGAGGCTGAAGACATGTATCTCAAAGCAGCAGAACATTTAATTGCCTGAAGCTGCACCTGATGGAGAATTGAGCTTCCTTGCTATGCTCAGATTTAGTGGTTGGGTTATTTCAGTGCACAATTGGTAAATTCCAAGGAGGAAGGTGTGATGACTGACTGACTGACTGACTGATTGTCTATGTACCAGCCACATAGACCAATTTTTTTCCAGGAGGATCTGTTCCCAGGCTAATCCTTTAGGTCTCCCAATGATGCATTCATCAACACTGCAACTGACTATAGACTTGCTATTGGTCATCCTCTTCTTTTTCTTTCTTTCCATCTTTTTCAGCATCAAAGCCTTCTCCAAGAGAGCTAGATCTCTATATAACAGTGGTTCTCAACCTGTGGATCGGGACCCCATTTGGGGTCGAACGACCATTTCACGGGGGTCGCCAAACAACGCAGTCTGCCATTTCTTCCCCCCTTTTCCTTAGCTGTGCCACTCCCTTTTATTCTATTGGCTTTTGAAAGCCAATAAAATAGACTCTCTTGAATAGAGTTTAATTCGATTGGCTTTCAAAAGCCAATAGGAATTGTCCAGGCTGTCTCTGCCCTGCTGAGCCCGCCAAAAGTCCCATTCTGCAAACGGTGCTGCACCAGTTGAGTAGTCCTCGACTTACGACCGGTTGGGGGTCACGGCATTAAAAAGGTTGAGAACCACTGCTATATAATGTATCTAAAGTAAACTAATTGACAACTGGCTCAGGTTGACCTTATGGACAATTTCTCCCAGCCCCATTTCCACATTTGTAGTTTGCAACCTTCCGTGGGATTGATCTCATCAAAATTTAAAGAATCTTCTATCAATCTTTCACATTCTAAAACAATTTCTAATTTTTCTAATTAAACGGCCACAGGTATACTTTATTATGTTTTCCTCTCTCCCTTTTGGGGAGGTGCGTTCATGTGACTAGATCATTCATGATAAGATTCTAGAGGATGTGCCAGTGTTTTATAAGGCAGCCTAGGAAGTATGTGCCCATGGTTATTTATCAGCCAATCAATACCCTCAGAATATTTCTCACTTTCTTTCCAATGAAGATAACCTGGCTATCATAGCTGCCAAATAACTTAGGGCTGCATATTTCTATCTTTGCAGAGTTTTATTTTGATACAGCAAAACTGAGTTTTGTTCAAAATTGTTGCTGAAGAAAGTTCCCAGATCCATTGAGAGCTCATGCATCTCTAAGTTCTTATTCCATATGGTTCTGTTGTCACATCACTTATTTGATCAAGACTGGCATGAAATTTGGAATGAGATTTGCAGAAAAAGTAAGGGTCAGAGCAAAGTGTTTGCCCATTGAGGGTCCTATTTGTAGACTCAGGGCTGAAAAAAGCTTAGGAGGACACATTATTAATGATTAATATATGTGGCAAACATAAAGAAGTTTACTTAATTAATTTGCTTCCTTTTACATGATGAAAGACCTTTCAAAAATCTGCATGCCAAATATAATAGTATTTAGCTCAACAATATTTTTTTTACCACTTTTGCAGGTGCTGGGGAGAAAGAGACAGATTATGCACTAAACCATGATGTGGGTATTTGGTGTTGGCTTGTTGTGTAAACCAGTTATTGTAGTTTGTAATTAATGGTTTATGGTTCAGTATGTTTTCCCAGTTGCAATGTATGGCTGTGAAAGTTGGACCATAAGAAAGTCTGAGCGCAAAAGAATTGAGGCCTTTGAACTATGGTGCTGGAGAAGACTCCTGCGAGTCCCTTGGATTGCAAGGCATTCAAACCGGTCAGTCCTAGAAGAGATCAACCCCGACTGCTCTTTAGAAGGCCAGATCCTGAAGTTGAAACTCAAATACTTTGGCCACCTAATGAGAAGGAAGAACTCACTGGAAAAAGGCCTAATGCTGGGAAAGATTGAGGGCAATAGAAGAAGGGGACGACAGAGAATGAGATGGCTGGATGGAGTCACTGAAGCAGTAAGTGTGAACTTAAATGGACTCCAGAAGATGGTAGAGGACAGGAAGACCTGCAGGAACGTTGTCCATGGGGTCGCGATGGGTCGGACACGACTTCGCAATTAACAACAACAATGTTCTATAAACCAATCCAATTGTGTGATGGCTAACTAAACCATGTATTTGTTTATTGTTTATTTGTAAGCACTGCTGGATTGGAGCCTGTCCTCACAGTGGCCAATCAACTGCCCAAGGAAACCCATTATCTCCCAGCAGATGGCCTTCAGAGGCTGACATACTGTCATCAAGGCTAATTGTTCCCCATGACTGAATTGGTCCAACTCATTTTTTAAGCCAGCCAAGCTGGTAGTCAGTACCACATCTTGTGGTGGCAAATTCCAAAGTTTGGTTACAAAAATATTTCCTTTTGCCTGTCCCATTTCTTCCTTCCTTCAATTTCATTGGGTGACCTCTGGTATTATATTTTGGGAAGGGAAAGCAGCTTATTGTCCACTTTATCCATACCACACATAATTTTATATACCTCATCTTCTCTTGTTTGCCCCCTTTCTAGACTAAAAAACTTTAAAAACTAAAAATGTGGCAAGTTTTCCTCATAGTGAAATCACTTCAGCCCCTTGATCATCTTAGTTGTCCTCCTCTGAACCTTTTCTTGCTCTGCTATATCTCTTTTGAGGTACAGTGACAGAAATACATACAATATTCCAGATTGCACTTGCACTGTTGACTTTTGTAAGAGCATTTATAATGTTGGCATCCCTTTTTCAATACTACTTATTGTCCCTAATAAGCTGTTGGCCTTTTCCACAGAGATGGACATATACAGTGTCCGCACCTTCGGTCAATTGTTTACCATTTCTCCAAGAGCTCTTTCCTTGTCAATCACTGCTAACTCTGATCCCAGTAGTTGATATAAGGATTTTTGGCACCAATGTTCACTACTTTTACACTTGTTCATGTCAAATGACATCTGACATTTTGATGCCCATTTCTCTAATGGGGTTTTTGTAGTCCCTTATTATTTTTACCACTCTGAACAATTGAATGTTATCAGTCAATTTGACTATTCCACTAGGCTCACCCAATTCCAGATCATCTATAAATGTCTTGATATAAATGCACCAATCCTAGGAAGGCTCCACAAATTCCATCCTTTGTGAGCAAGGTCCATTTACTCCTTCTCTTTGCTTTCTATCCATTAGCCAGTAGCATATCCACATGAAAACCCCCTCCTCCTCTTTTCCATGGCTTACTGAGAAATCTTGGGTGAGGGACATTATTAAGACTTTTTGAAAGACTTTTTATATCTCATTACCCCACCTTTCCTCCAGCATCCTGAAGCAGTGTACATGGTATTCCATTTTCTTCATAGGAATCACGTATGGTGCATTAGGCTGAGATATTAATTGGCCTGATGACTTTCCACTGCTGAGGATGGAGTTGAATCCGAGCCTCCTCAGTTTGTCCATTATCTTATCCATTGTACCACTTTCCCTATAACCATGTTGTAGGTAATGTGTGAATCAGGGCGGAAAAAGCTAAATGGCTTTATTGAGGGCAACAGTGTTACCTGTGACAGGCAGGGGTATCTATCTATAGGTGGATGCTAGTCACTAATTTTGAAATGTTTCATTTTTTGATTTCTGCATATCAAGCTTTGTCCCATCTGTAGGGACAAATTAGATCCAGAAGGGATTTTGCATGCGAAAAAGTGATTACTGCAGTTAGTTCACTTGCCACATGGCCAGCTTATATATGTATGAATATATCCTGCACCATTACAAAATTTCTTAAAATGATTTGAGAGACTGGCTGGGAGAGGAAAAAAAAAAGGGGGGGGGGCTGTACATCTGAATGTGGTAAAGAACGTATTTGCTCTGTGCTGTGACATGGGAATGTAGCAGTCACATAAACCAATATCACAAAGTTTTAGTTCTATTAATTAAATTCAGATTCCTCTGCTGTGCCCAGATATTGTACTCACTATGTTTTTTTTAAAAGTGAATAAAACATGCATTTCCAATGTGGAAATATTTATCTCTTTAACTATCCTGATTATGCGTACAAAAACAGCAAGATATGTTTTGAATTCAGAGTTGGTTTATTTTTTTATATATATGCACAAAAGACTAATTATTTGGGTAGCTTTCCAAAATCCCATCCCTTGATTTTGGAATTAAGTGTTGGATTTCAGAACTAAATTCCTGTTCCACATAACTAAGTGGACATGGGAAGAGAAAAAACTGCTTTCTATGCTGTGATTTGGCCATGAGGAATTTATCTGCTGGGGTTCTCTCTGATGATAATTAAGACACAATGAAGAGAATAGACATTCATTTCAAGTACTCTGCTGAATGCTCGGTGTTATTTGCAATGATCCTACTGAAAAGTTGATTCCAGCTATGCATGGGATGGATCCAAAGCTCCTTCCTACAAAGATATTCCAGGATCATTATAGGTAGTCCTCAACTTATGACCACAATGGAGCCCAACATTTACATTGCTAAGTGAGTCAGTCATTAAGTGAATTTTGCCCCATTTTACAACCTTGCCACAGTTGTTAGGTGAATTACTGCACTTGTTAAGTTAATGATACGGTTGTTAAGTGAATCTGGCTTCCCAATTGACTTTGCTTGTCAGGAGGTCACGAAAGGTGATCACAGAGGACCCTGATCTAAGTGTGAAAAATGGTCATAAATCACTTTTTTCAGTGCCGTTGTAACTTTGAATGGTCACTAAATGAACTGTTGTAAGTTGAGGACTATCTGTACCACCTATTCCCAACTTTGAGTTGCTGACGTGTTACATTGTATTTATTCTATGTGGACTCCAGTGCAGTTTCCTATATTACTTCTCTGCTCATAACTTTTGCCAAGTTTCTTAGGGGATTATAAAGGAAAGGTACCTATTTTTCCTCTCACCTTTCAGGGCAGGCTTAGGTCTTCTATTCAGCCATCTCCCCACTGTGAATACAGAAGTGTGGGCCCTTTTTCAGTCAATACATTTTGCTGGCAGAGGCAGGCGTATACAAAAAGTAGCTATTTGTAGCAGGGTGAAAAACTCCCTGGGATCAACTTTCAAAGTTACTCAACCTTCATTATAGGGCAGCACCTTCCAGCACAATGGAAATAGAGAACTAATTTGGGAAGTCAGGCCAGGCTGTATCATGCCGCACTTAATCCCCGCTCTCTACCTTATCCCCAAATCGGTTTGTTTTATAGGCTTACTGAACTCAGTCTAACGATAGGGCCGGCTCCTCTTGGATTATAAATGCGGTGTTCCCTCGATGGGCGCTCTATCAGCCTTGCCTCACGAATGCACGCGTGTTTACTCAACCCTCAATTCCGCTGAACTCTCTTCCGAGTAAATACGCGTATCAGCTGGTACGTTTGCTAAACTTCGTAATCTTCTGCTTGCTGATTTCTGAGTGCCATCGTGGGTGCGGCTTGGGAAAGAGAAGCAGTAAGAGAAAGGAGGGGGGGAAAAAACCCCAAACCAAACCCACACACACGGCAGCCAACAACAGCCCTGTCTACGTGTGCGCGCGCGTTTGCCTATTGTTCCTTGTTGCGTGCTTGCCAAATCACTGTTTGGGCGCGTTTCCTAGGTCCTCGGCGTGTTATGCTCCCGTATGTGGCTGTTGTGTGTAGTCAGATTTTGTGTATCGGGCCCATATGGTCCAGCCCCTTTCGCTCCGAAGCCACACCCACCAATTGGGGAGTCCTCTTAGCCGCTTTCGCGGCAAGGTAACAGCTTCTTCAGCGAGCAAGCTGAAGCGACCGGAAAGCCGGGACTTCTCAGCGCCCAACTTCACGCGGGACGTGTATTACACGCGGGACGTAGAGAAGGTGGTGTGTGAGTGCGAGCGGACTGGTTTGATATCAGCCGAGTTATTCCTCCTCTCCCCCTCCCGCGGCCTCTCCGGGAGGGCGGCGAACATTTCCTTTTCTTCCTGGATCACCAGCACAAGCTCACTATTAGTAGCATCATCATCATCACCATATTTTCGCCACCACATCCTTCTTCTCCCTCGCCTCTTTCCACTGGAAGCGGATTCCGGAGGGGGAAGATGTACGACTGCATGGAGGCATTCGCCGTCACGCCGCGACAGCTCTACGATGTTACTAACCGGAGCGCTTGCATGCTACGGAAATCGAGCATCAGTCCGTTTTCCTTGGGCTTGGATCCCTTCGGGTGGCCCCAGCCGGCCAGCCTACAATGTAGGTGGACTTGTCGCCGATCGACACTTAGTGGTGGGGTGGGGTGGGGTGGGGGTATGAATTGCGGTAATGGGTTCGTTTTCTGAAGAGTGTCGACGTGGGTGGGGTTGTAAATGTAGAGTAGTGCATTCAATAAATCGCTCGTGGACCCTGAGCACGAGTGGATCTGAGGGGCATCCTGCTAGGGGGCGCTGTTTGCTGCGTAGGCGGAATTGCGTGGTGGATTCGAACCTAATTTTCCAACTTTTAGTTTCCTGCTTTGGAACTCCAGAGTTGCAAAAGAGGGGATATGGGCATTGGGGAAAAGGGATACGAGGAACGAAGCCATTCCCTCGCTGCCCCACCCCCACTCCCATCCCGCGGTCTTTTGATGGGAGGAGAACATGCGTGATTGTATCTCGGGAACATTTATAGCCGCCGCCTTCTTCGCTTCTGATCTTGGGAGAGAGTTCACTTTCTCGGGAACTGGGGAATACCTCCAGTTTGTGGCTCTTTGTCTTGACTTGGAAGCTCATTATGAACACCAGATGAGGAGGAAACTTTGAAGTTCCCTTTCATTCTTTTAAAAAAAAAAAAAAAAAAAAAAGATCTGAGTACGCGTGCATGTGTATAGAGGAGCGAACCAGAAACCACAGGAGAATATCTGAGGGAGAGTATGTTTAATTTGAAAGTTGGAGAAAAGCAGGAGGTGATGTTCATCCTTTAAAAGCCAGACAGCTGTGGACTGATTTTAACTTTCATTCCCCTTGGGGGGGGGGGAGTTGTGATAAAATGCGCGCGCCAATGTGCAGTCTTGAAATTCGCCTTCCACCATCAGATGCAACTAGATCCAAAAGTGGGGCAGTCCAGTCAGTCTGGCGTGGGGGGCAGCGGGGGGGGAGGAGGCGGGTTAGACGAAGCGGCGCTTTTATTTTCAGACATTCCGGAGAATCTGGAAGTGGAGGCGGCGGTGCCGGAGAGATCTGTCAAACACCCAAGGGTGTCCCCAGCGGTTCCTCCTGCGCTCCCTTTTTCTCTTTGAGCAGCTGCCAGATCGCTTCCCTCTTTGCCCGCTCTCCTCTCCCTCTCCCTCCCCCCCTCTCTCTTTTTTCTTGGCACCCATCGCGGGTGTTTACAACTTGGAAAAGCAAAAGTCTTAGATGTATATTTACACACACACACACACACACACACACACACACACACACACACGCCCAGCGGGTGGGGGCTCGCAGCCGCGTCGCAGGGGAATACCTGGGGACGGAGTTTTGGGTGTTGAGTTCCTTCTTTCTCTCCCTCCCTCCCCCGCGCCCGATGGGAGTTCGCGCTGGCTCCCTAGCTCGCTTTCAAAGCGGTTTCATTTGGAGCGGCCCCACCCCGCCCGGGCTGCTCGGGCGCTGGCTGGAAAATGTGGCGCTTTAACTCTTTCGCTGGCTGCTGGAAATCAAAACACTTCCTGGAGAATCTCAACTTGGAGGAGCAAGAAGACGCTTCCTCGCAGGAACACAGGGGAGATAGTAATAAAAACCCCGACTGACAATTAACCAGTGAAACAAATTGCCTCTCCCTCCCTCTAACGCTCGAGGCTTTTAAGAAGAGACTGGACAGCCATATATCAGAAATAGTATAGGTCTCCTGCGAGAGCAGGGGGTTGGACTAGATGACCTCGAAGGCGCCTTCCAGTTACTGTTGGCAGGAGCAGGGGAACAAAGAGTTCATTAGTATAGAATAAGAGAAAGGCCTGTCTGAGATAATTTGAAAATGCATATTAATAATAATTATTCTTTTCCTCTTCCATTTCCAACTAATCAGACTTAAGTAATAGGGAATGCCTCTGGGCATGAGCAGGGTAAGTGTATTTTTAATAGCTTTAAGTTTTCTGGGCATAGTTTTGGGGTAAACTTTAATTGGGGTGCCTCCTTATAAATGAGAGCCAGTTACAATGCTTTACTTTTCACTCATACTACAGGTGGAAGTATATGATATTTAGATACTGCCTTTTCAAGCTGTTGCCCTCCAGGTAAACTGGAACAACAACTCCCCTAATCCTTGGCCTTAAGCTATGGATAGTCTGCTTTGTGCCAATACATCCAGAGGACAATACGTTGAGGAAAGCTGATTTATGGATTTGGCACCCATCCAAACTTCAAACCACTTTTCAAAACATAGGACTGAGTAGGTTTCTTTCCCCAAGGACTCATAATTCCTCTTTAGAGTGAAAGAGTGCACATGATCAGAGGAACTAACAATAGCGGTAATACGGTGATGCAAATACAATGTAGAAAAAAGATTTCCTAATTATTTCAGGTCAACTGAAACTGTATGACACAATACTGCCTCTGATGATGACTCCCATAGTAGTTACACATACATATGCATCAGATCATCATGATGTCATCAACATTGTCTTTGCTAACAGCATTGCGACTTGGACTTTTCCCCCCCTAGAACAGGGGTGTCAAACTCGCAACGTCATGTGACATGTCGCAACGTATCACGGCTTTTTCCCCATTGCCAGAGCTGGGGTGGGCGAGGTTTCAACATGATGCATCCGGCCCTTGGGCTGGCAGTTTGACACCCCTGCCCTAGAAGTAGCTGCAGACTGAAACCAGTGCATCTGTGCCTCAGGACTTATGTTTTTCTGAACATATTTCTACCACAATGTTTCATCTGCCTTTTATTTATTTTTATTTATCAGGTTTACAAAATTTTAGCATTTTTGATACCCCTGTATTGCGATAAAGTGGGAATTCAGGTAGCAATCAGGAGAAAGTTGCAACTGCTTTAGTGAAGGTTCACTATCACAAATGAACTTTTATCATAGTCAGGCAATATATACACAAGCAAATAAGAATTGCCTCTGGACAGAACATCTATTATATATTGAACAGTGTTGATTATGTATGCCCCTTCTGGGTTGATGTTGTGCTGCAATTAAAGTCTGAATGGTAAAACAACTGAATAAGATCAAATATATAATGAGGGATAGTAACTTCACTGAACTTAACTTTATAGGATCATTTTGCTTGAAACATTAAAACTTGATTGCAGAAAATTGGGTCAAATAAATGGCTGCAGAGGAATTGGAGGGATGTGGGCTAATCTGTAGGGAGAGTATGTAAGTAATATGGGTGCGATTATGTATAGAATTAGATGGGTCATCTGGAAATCCCAGAACTGTCAACTAAGGAAAATTACATCAAAAAATCCTGTAAAGTGACAGTGACAAAACATTTCTGTATTCTCAGTAAGAAAACCATATAGATGTTCTACATAATCATCAGGAATAGCTTGACCTGAGGGAAACTGTAATACAAGGCCTCAGGAGATGAAAGCCCCAGCCAACCCTGGCTGATCCTGAAAAGCTAAGTAGAGTTGGATCTAGATAATACTTGGATGGGAGACCACCAGGAAATCTGCAGGCTGTAGACTAGAAATAAAAAAAATGTTTCGGAAGAAAGCCACAGGAAATGAATTCATATTCATTTAAAGAAAACTGCAAGGATGTGCCCATGTTGTCTGCCGGAGGGAATCTTTATTAGAATCAACCCTTGTAATTGAGACCCTATCACTTCTGCAGGTGATAAATTGCTTTGGAGGCATCTTTATTCAATACAGGAGAACTTCCCTCTTGTTGTTCTCTCCCTTCACCTAACAGAAGAGCCAGTCCTCTGTGTGGATGTGGGTATTTCTGGTGGAACATATATTTCCAAGTGTGGGACATACTCTGTAGCATCAGGAATGCCATTGCTAAGACAAATGGCTTATATAGCACCCCAGCTGCAAACATTTTACGGCTGGTTATAAATGGCTTGTTTGAAGCTCCACCGAGAAGAGGGTAGGAATTTCCTCAATTTCAGTAATTTAGTCTTTTAAAGCCCTCCAACCACCCCTCCTTCTCCAACTGAGCTAGCCAGCATTTGTGGAGGGGCAAGAGCAGGGACCCTGAGTTGGAGAGAGCAGATGGCCCATGGCTGGGTTGATGCTGGACACAGTCTGGGGCTAAAAGTGCTGAGCAGCTGCCACTTATGCTCGGGAGAAACTATTGAGTAATCTGACTTTTTTCAATTTCCTGTCTCCTTATTTGTGGATCACTGACAAGATAAGATAGTGGCACCAAATAACTAGCCAAAGCTGCATATTCAAGACTGCAAAGATGCTGTGTGAATAGAGGGTACTGCTCTGGCACTGGCCATTCTTAATCTTTGGCTTGTTTTAGTCCAGAAGAGGACTACATTACTTTATCTCTCTGAAAGCATGTTCAGCATCCATTAAAGAGTACATGTGCCTGTACAAATATCTTCTGAAAGGGATCCTACACAGATTAGTAATCATTAGTAGTTGAAACAAACTGTTTCAACTTCTCCCCTTGTGTCACCACTACGGAGCATTGTATGCCAAAACAGCTAAACCAGTGGTGGTGAACCTATGGCACGCGTGCCAGAGGCGGCACTCAGAGCCCTCTCTGTTGGCACGCCAGCAGCAGATCCATCAGGCCGCCATCACTGCCCAGAGCAAGAGCACAAAGAAGGTGAAGCGGCTGACTAGCAAGCTCAAGTAGAGGTGGTAGAGCAGAGGTCACCAACCATTGTCGATTGGTGGACTGGAAGAAAAGGGAGGGAGAAGTATTTTACATGTGCATGTGCACACACGGGGCCGCGAGTATGCACGCACTGCAAATAAGGTGGAGCTAGTGCCTGCATGATACTCACTAGCCCTGCCCCATTCTTGCTTGGTGCAGCGCCTTGTATCTGCACCCTGTGGTGCAGCGGTGGCCATTTTTGCGCCCCTGTTTTTTGCGTGCCCCCCCTGAGGGCACCACAGTGCTGATGGGCCCCTGGCACTTTGCGATAAATAAGTGGGTTTTGGGTTGCGGTTTGGGCACTCGGTCTCTAAAAGATTCACCATCCCTGAACTAGATTCAAAGACAGTTTTTTTCCCTCCTCATGCCATCACTCTGCTGAGCACTTGATTTCCACAGTTCTATCTTATGTATAAATATATTAACCATGTAGTATGGC